AAAGAGAGATAAGAATGTACCTTAGGATCTGGTGTTTTTAATCCTTCTCGCTCTGAACTTGAAGTAGGTCCTTTGCGGTTCCTCTCGCGCTGCAACAGCAAAGAAAATGACAAGAAAACGAACTTTTTAATTAAAAATAAATAAAAAATCCCGGTACAAATCTCAGTTTATATACTAGAATCTACCTAATTGTTTTTAACTTATTTTATTATGTATATATTTTATGTCCTAACCTTAACTGCTTCGGCAGGTTGAGGAGCAGAAGAGACTTCATTTCTAGGGTTGGACAATTCCATGGACGGCTCAGATGATCTCTTGGAACCACTGGTAGCTGGTGAAACTATTCCAGTACTTGCCTACCAAACACAAATTAACAAACCCGTTAGCTGAAAATTTTTAAAAAGTATAATTGAACCCATTTTCCGGAAGATCAAATTTTTGACGGGTTTGGTTAAAACCTTGGTTGCTGGTGTTGATGATGGCTCTTCATGCATGGGCTGGGAAGGAAAAATATTGAGTGTGTGTGGCCTCATCCCAGAATTCTCTGCACTCGGGAAAAATTAATTATAAGCAAGCATTAATTGAAGAAAGTAATCATCTTCTATTGACTGACACTGATAATAATGGAAGAAAAAGAAAGTGGAAAGGAAAGTTCATGCATTTTAAGCTGTCTGCAAAAGCATACGGAAACACAGTAAAGGAAAAAAGTTGAAACAAAATCAATCGTTGATTCGTACTCTCTTTTTAAGTACAATCAGATTTCGTAAGGAATTCATGCAGTAGTACTTTATTACATGTCGTGGTCCATGATTCAGAAAACAAGAACCAATTTCAATTCTACATAAATCATTTCATTTTTGTTTCTTGAAAATTGAAAAGAAAAATAATTTCTTTCTCAAAGGATCTGGTCAAACAAAGTACAATCGGATTTTAATCTGTCTGTTCAACATACTTCCCTTATGACCGAACCCAGGAGAATCTCAACAAATTCAGATCAACCTTTGAGAAATAATTGAATCAAACAACAAACTATCATAAAAAGACACCCAGGGAAAGATCACTGAGCTAGGGAGATCTTTACGCCTTTGTTCTTGAACCGTTGACTGTTCTTGGCTATCAAGATAAAGGAAAAGCGCTTGATCTAATTCACCGAAATCATAAGCTCCAGTATCTTTGTTTCTGCAAATATATCAAAATCATGGAATTATTAAGCATCGGCGTATGGTCTGAAATTGCAAAAATAAAATAAAAATGGATTCTTTCTTGAGAATTTCCAAAAAATAAAAAAGAACTGATGATGTCTATAAAAGAAGAAACATAAAAATTACATGAAGTTGCAAGGAATGGCTGCTGCTGATGAAGCTGATTGCATCATTCCAAAAGAAATCTGATTATTCTGCTGCTGATGATGATGAATTTCCTGAAAATTTTGCTCTTGTTCCGAGACTGCATGTGTGGTGATGGTGTTATTGCCTTTATTTGACGCCATGAATTGAGCTCCAACAAGAAGCTTGCTTTCTTGCTCTAGAGGGGATGTATACTCAGCAATTGCACTTGAGAAAGCCATATAATAACACTATTAATTGCAATTTAACTGCTTTTTGCCCCCTTTCCTCCTCTGTACAGATAAATTCCGGATCACCATAATCAATACAGAAAGAGAATCAGATGTCTACAAATTTTAGAGAGAGAGAGACTCAGTCGGTTACAGTATAACAAGAGGTAGAGTACTGACAAAGGCTATTTTAAGTTTATTTTCATCTTTTGTTCTTCTCTGCAAAAATCAGCTGAGTTTCTGTAGAAAGCCCAATATTTTTAGCTAAGCGGTTTTATGAAATTTAAGTCTAGATCTCTTCTATATTTATTATCTCTGTCTCTCTCTAAAGTATTTTCTTTTCTCTCTCTTAAACAGCTCCACTCGGTGAAACCATTCAAGTCTAAAGAAAAAAACAGGTGCTAGGGTCCTAAGGAAAACCATTTTCTATATTTCAAATGACGGGTAAGCCCTCCTTTGTTTACAATTTTTACTCTTGAAAGTTTCATGCAGCTTGTCAACTTGAACAATATTGTTGAGGAAGACATCTTTACCAGCTTATGTATATGTATACTGTATTCAATATATATGCATAGACAAATTTTATATTTACATTGGCAAATATTTAAGGTTTGGGGGTCAATAAAGGCTTCTAATAATTTCTAAATCATAACAATGAGATATTTACGAATTTTTGGCACGTTAAATTAGAAAATTATTAATGTTAGGTATATGGAGAACGGTGGATATCGCAAAATAAATTTTCAAGTAAATAAAGACAAAAATTATAACCGTCCAATAAATTAGTAGTCAAATTGAATAGTTTGTTTTGTAGTAGCGAGACTTGACAAGTTTTGAGAGAGATAGACACGTGTGACACATAGTTGTACATCCATTATTTTATCTCAATCGAGCATTACAAGGATGAAGTGCAGAGCCGATGTGGAAAATTGAATAGTGAGTATTGCTTTAGCGAGACTTGACAAGTTTCGAGAGATATAGACACGTGTGATATATATTTGTACATCCATTATTTTATCTAATAGAGCATTACAAACAAGAAAAGTAAAACCTGCGCTAAGGTTTCAATGTTAAATATACAGGGAAAATATAAGTGAAAAAATGAAAAGAAGTTATGTAGTTTGGCACCTGGTTTGCATTCACGAAAATGGTATACATCCATGAATTGAGGCTAGAATAACTTTGCAAAACAAAAGGAGATTGTCGCATTGTGTGGAGATTGTGCAAATGTTTCAATGTGTATATATATATATATATATATATATAAATATCCATTTGCTTTAGAGTGATTATATTTACCTTAAATACAAGATAATGTATAACATATTGAATTTATGTCCCCTTTTTTGGGAGGGGGTGGAGGTGGAGGTGTATGAGCTAGTAAAACATCTTGAATTTTATGGCACATGTACTAACTTATATATAAAACAAAGATGACAATTTACATGATACACGTTGAGTTGAAATCATTATGACACACATACTCTACTATATATGTATTTTTCTCTAAAGTATTTTCTTTTCTCTCTCTAAAATATTGGCCTCAATCGATAAAACCTTTTAATTATTTGTAAAATAAATTACATATGGATTACAACATGTTGGGTATGCAAGATTAAAAAATCATTGTTGGAAGGCACGTGGAATTACATGCTTGTATATTGTTAATTGATTATTTTTGGAGAAATAAATAAAGACAATAGAATTGTGACCTCAAATACAACTTAATCAACTTGGATAGATTGTCCCTTGTAGACTATGGCAGTAGTGAGACTTAACAATTTCTGAGAGAAAAGCTAGTGTCATTCAAATTTGCACGTCTATTGTTCTAATGCAATTGAGCGATACTAACAAGAACATGGAGCCATGAACTTGGGCTTTAATAGATATTAAAAGTTCAACTGCGAGCTAAGTAGTATCGTGTGGAGGATTTCAATGGTGAGTTTTTATGCAAAATATGGGCTATGTCGTGTTGTGCGGAGGTTTATAGTACACTAAGGGAGTAGTGGACTTGACATGTTTTGAGAGGTACTGTAACGCCACGTTCTTATTTAACAATACTAACAGGAAGGTTAAAATGGAAATCTATTAAATTGATAGAATTAATTAAAGGATTAAAATATTTAAGAAGCTACATTAGTGATATTTTTACCTAATTAGAAAAAATTACACCCCACTATATATATAAAGTGTGTGCATATATTTGGCTGTTTATATATGTTATGTTTATATAGGTCTGTATGCATAAATTTATGTGTGTGCACTTATAGTGTATACGTATGTACTATATTCACATATACATAGAGGCGTGTGTGCTGCATGCCATATACATGTTTATACACATGTACACCCATATATACTTAATTGTTGTATAAATTCTTTGAAAACCCCATTCGTATATATTAAATTTAAGTAGTGTCATCACGAATTTGATTATCTTGATATAAGTAAGACTTGTTCAATTTAATAATTTCGTTTACCTTGCTCAATTTAATAATTTCGTTTACTTATATTTATTCAAAGTACTTGAGCTAGAGTTTGACTTTTATTTACGGGAGATTTATTTTTTATTTTTTATTTTTTTGTCATTTTCATTAATCTTATGTTTTGCCTACTAAATTAAGTGTTTAAATTGTATTTAAAATTTAGAATTTAGTTAGGATCTTCTGATCAATAATAATAAATAGATTCCATTTAATAGAGAATATTATGAGATCACATTTGAAGAGTGAATTTTACCAAAGTTTCTAAATAGATGAAGAGGAATTAGGATTTTGGACATGTTGACGTTCTGGGTGGCAAGGACATCTCCACTGCCATTCTAAAAAGTTAATTGCTAAGGATTCAAGGTAAGTAAACCTTTCTTATTTTCATAAGTATGTCATATGGTTAAATGTATAAATATGTTACTTAAATTGTCCTTACGCGAACATGATATTTGATCATTACTTTTTATGTCATAAATGCTTTTTATGACATTCATACATATCAATACATTTTTAAGCATACATGAACTTTTAAGGAATAAAAAGTTTTTAAATGTCATGAGTCAATGAATGTTTTAAAAAGATATATATCCCAAATGTTTTTATTACGAGATATAAGTCCATGCCATTAAAGGTGTGAGTCGGAAATGAGGTGTGGCAGACTAGCACACCCGACCAATGTTCAATAATAATGATAATTTAACCACTTTGCGGTACTACAAGTAGGATACAATTGGATTCTAAATAATAATTGCCCATTATATTCTGATTGGTTAGGCGATACATCAAGTGAACTCACGAAACCAATGTTAACTTTTTCTTTTTTTTAAAGAAATGAAAGAATGAGGATATATATTGAGAAATAATTCTATTTTAAAATAATTTATATGTATATCATAAGCATGCATCATATGCATAAGGTTTGTATACGGGCGTTAGCTAGTTCCACGTTATACCTCCCAATTTTCAGATGATGGAGGTAAGATGATTCGAGACGACTACTTGTGGTGCGATGAATTTAGTACTAACTAATACATCCAAATATCAACTCCCTTTGAAAAATAAAGTCAACATTGAACTTTATTGTTTCTTTTCATTTAAATGCAAAATCTTTCTACACATTTTTTCATAAATGAAGTCAATGATGTACATTATATTAAAGAAAATTTTTATCACTTCCGCATTTAAAATTTTCAAAGAAAATGAAATTATTAATACTTCTAAATCAATGTATCTAGATTTGGGGTATTACAATTGAAGGCAGAACAGCTCTGATTCCACTTTGTTAGATCGGAAGGCGACATAAGGTTTGAGATTTAATGGTATAATATGAAATATATAATATCACAACCAATAGAACAAGATTAAAGTAAAGAAACAAAAAGAGAGTTAAATAGAGGAATCGATATTTTATTCAATAACAATATAAAGAGAATACAACTGCAGCAATAAAGCTTCACAAAACTAGAAAAAGAGTCTAGTATTTATAGGAAGAAAATCATCCCTAAAAGTAAAGTTCTAGATGAAATAAAATGCCAAAAGTTTTCTTATTTGACCTCATCGAGCCCAACATAAATTTCAACTCCCAATAGGCTTCCAAATAGAACTTTAACTAGAATTTTTCAATTAAACTTGAATAAGATTCCTCAATAGCATTCCAATTAGAATTCCTATTAATGTGCACTTTAATTAGAATTCTACAATTATTTCAACAAGAAATTCGGGTCACACCCTAATTCTAGCAATCTCTACCTTGACACGAATTCCACTGCAATGAACAAAACTCCCAAATTTCTCCATCTGGAAAAATAAATTCGACTATAGAGAAATAAACAGAACTCTTCAACTAGAACCAAAACCCTCCATTTCATAAAGAAATCTTCATCTGTACGGCGTCCACAAGTGACACTTGAACCCTACTCTCGAGTTTCCAAAATTCCTACTAGAAAATAACATTTACCAAAAAGGGTTGATGCACACCCTATAGCAGAAATCGCACAAAATGCATGATCAGAAAGTTCCCTGCCACCTTCAACATTCTCGAAAGTATTACAGGCATCATCGACACCACCATACCTATGCTCAATGGATCCAAACCTAGCAACTGAACATAGTGTATCTGTTGAAATTAGTGGCAAATCGAAATCACCAATGCTCCACTAAGCAATGTTCTGAATCAACTCAGAGATCACTACAAGAGATACTGTACCAAACTGAATTTCCACTATGTTACTGAACTTGTCTAGATGTCTCTTAACTAGTTTTGTGCTCTCCTACAAGATGTACAACTAAGATTTCTTCCAACCCTCCACGATACTAGGACACCCCTTCAGGCCTCCAAGACTTCACCTCCATCAAAGAATTTATACCCTTTTGAATCCAAGGTACTCAGCGAGATGAGATTCCTCTTCAGATCTGGAATATGTTAAACCTGGCCAAATGTTCTGATTGTCCCATCCTACAACCTCAATCTAACTTGACCGATTCAAGAACACAACAGACTCCTTGTTTCCTCAGAAAACTCCACATTGCTTAACCGTCTCATATGTCTAAAACATGTCCCGACTGGAATAAATATGGTGCGAACATGCTGAATCAAGAATCCACTCCTCGTCAGGCTTAGACTCCATGTCAGATACTACAGTTAACATCACATCACCGCCATTCGAAAAATCCTCAACTACATTGGTCTTGTTTGAAGTTAATGATTGTATACCATGATTTGCAGCTAAATCACCTTTAGCCTACAACTTAACACAATTCTTCAGAGCATGTCCTTTCTTTCTGCAGTAGAAGCAATACAAATTACTGTAGTTCACATTCGATCTGTCCCTCCGTCGATCATCATGAGATACTAAAGCTTCCTTATCCCCAGATGCAG